TTAATTTTATACTCTCTTTAAATATAAAATTATTAAAAACATTTGATACACTCTCTCTTTCTCTCTTCAAAAATATCAAAAGTATCAATTATTTGATACCCTCTCTCCAAAAATATCAACTATCTCTTCCCTTTATTCAAATTTTATTAATTTTATATTTCAATACACCCCACTATTTCAACCAAAAACACTCTCTTTCTTCCTTTAACTCAAATTTTAATAATTTTATATTTAATGATACCCACATTGTATCACCATTACTCATGCTCTTAGTGAGTTTGTGGTCAAACATACTGTAGATAGCCTTACTATGCTGCTACAGTTTAGTAGTTTACCAGCTTTGAGCGAATGAAACATGTTTCACTGAAAACGACTGTTATTTATACATACAACAAAATATACACAAATTTTCTTTTTGTTGGAATGTATTATTGAACCAAAAAAGGGGAGTTTTGTTAAGGTAAGAAATTGTAAAATTAAGAAAAGAACGCCCATTTTCTTCTTCTTTTTTCAAGAGATAAGACACAAATTTGGATCACTTGGCAATAACATTTTAGGCATCTAAATGTACAAGCTAACTTGGAAAATGTAAGGAAAACAGAGATTTTATAAATTTGGAAAGTGATCATATATAAAGAAAGAAGAAAAGGCTGATTAGAGATGGTTAAGAGAATTAGTGATGAGAATGGTTTGGAAGATTTTCAATTTGGTTTCTTAAAAGTGAAATCTCCCATTATGAGAGCACATTTGTTAAGGAAATAAATCGAAATAAACAAAAATCAAATACGGGAATTCCGGTATTAACAGAAGACGGCGAAAGAGGGAACGTACCGGCGGAGGAGGAAGAGGAGGCAGAGACGTCGGAGTGGGCAGCGCAACTGGCGGCGGAGGAGGGAGGTGAGAGATGACGTGTCCCCACACATGAAATCCTGACAACTCGCATCTCCCTTTTAGATAGATTCTCTCCAGATTCCGACTGGTTTTGACCGGACTGTTACTCAGACCAGTGCGAGTTATTTATAGAGAGAGAAGAGAGAATTCGTTTAGTAGTAGCTAGAGAAATGACGCATATGCCCCTCCATGAGGATATTCTAAAGAGATAA